CTTGTATTTAACAACTGTAATTATTCGAGTGAGCACTATAATAATGTTCTCGTGAAATTCGGCTTATTTCTGCAAACGATAAGCTGTTAAGTTAAGTTAAGAAGCGTGCTTGGGCATGCTTCTTAACTTTGCAAAGTGTACATATCACAACAGTTAAGCTACACACATTATCCTTGTGACCTTGCTTGGACCACAGCTATTTTCGTTCATTATTTTGAAGCTCTAATACTAATCGATCTTTTTCAAGGCCAGGTTAAAACTATTACCGCATTATGAAAATTCCCCCCTTTTTCGTATTTTCTTGTTTCTTTCCCAGGAAGCCATAAAAACTGAATTCGTTGATGCCAGTGCACAGGATGTCCTGATTTTTATCGCTATTCCTAACACAACTACGGGAAACGACTATATTCAGTGGAGATGCTGAAGCAGCCCAAAAGCAATCGATTTTGAAATAACACGCTCGTGGTTTCAGAAGTAGAGATAACAAGAGCCGTTATTGTTGAGATCTTACAGACAACGATGCTAAAGAAGGTATAGGGGATGCTATTAAAAGCAACTTTATTTCATATGTCAATACATAAAAGTGGACGAAAAGGCAGTTTGCAGCCGCCGGGGACCGAACCTACAACTTTCAAATGATGAGTCCGACGCTTACCACTCAGCTACGGTGGTGGTCATTCCTCCATGCACTTTATATGGTATAATTGTGCTTTTAAACGTGATTGCGCCAGTCAGTACCATGTGTTGTCCTTGCGGCGAGTGTGCAACTCTCTTATTTAGCCTGTTGGCGTCACGCAGCACGGAATCTTGTTACTCTTATAACGAGCAAGCACCTGGCTAATAATCTATGGTATAATACCATCTTGGCATCATTTGCATCATCATCTTGCCATAATAGTATGTTAGTTCTCATTCAGTATTGCGTTTAACAAAGAAAAGGTCTCTTTAACGTGCACCTGTGTTCAAGTATGTGTGTGGTATAATGAAATGTTCCTCCGAATAACGACCGACTTTAATGAAATGTTCCTGCCAAGTTTGCCCCTGTGGCACAAACGTCATATAACCGCACGCACTAGGTTAGTTCTCATAAGTGCCTGGGCATCGCATAGGTACAATATCTGTGAGTAGAGCTGTGAATATATTCCCCCTATAAGCACAGGTGTTTATTTCAGTGAACGCTGTGTGCCATTCACATATTTTGAAACATTTATGCGTGTGTGCAACACGCGAATACATTAAACACAAAGCACCAGATCTAATACCGAAATCCTCTGAAGCAGCTGTTCCCCCCCACCCCCCCATTCCCACACGCACACAGACACTCGTTTTTTTTTTATTTTGTCACGAAGCGGCTTTGCGTCGCTGTGAAAGAGACTTCAAAAGTACCAACCGTGTCTGCGCTACATAATCGATTGTTAAGAAAGACGGGGTGTGGGAGGGTGTCTTAAGGTACGTCAGCTCTATAATTCTTTTCATGCCGTGCTTTTATTTTGGTTTTTCGCGCTATCAACCGTCTATGTTCCGTGTAGAAGTTAGAATAGCACAAGAACGTGACGAAAGTCGCTCAAAGCTTTTTGTGTTGCACAACGCCTTTTGTGGTGGAAAATATTCCGTCGTTTGCTTGGCTTGGAGGCACTGAATTACCATGCTATACCTGGAGAGAAGGATTTCGCACGACGTGTGGCTTGTGCTGTTATACCATACCAACAGAAACAGACACTTGACTCCTTCAAACTACATGTTGAGCTTTGGATGACTTGCGGCCTTATAGGACGATGAGGTACTCTTTCCGAGAATCCTTTCATTTGTCTGTTGTGTACAACCGCGAAAACGATGTCTCGTCGTCAAACTATTTGCAAATTAAGCGCCCAGAAATTGCACGCACTGCCTCACGTTTTTTGATTGTCTGTTTTTCTTTGTCACAACATGGAGGCTGGTGTCAATATTTAAAGGAACATTCAGATTTATCTTAGTTCTTCAGTTGAATCTGCAAGCTGTTTTCATTGGCACAGAACTGTAGCAAACTGCAGAGTGGATAAGATACAGCCATATTCAGCCAGATTGTCGCTGATCAATTGCAAGATATTGCTTCGACCAAGATTTTAGTAACGGTGAAGAGGGCACTACAGGAAAGATTAGACTTCACAAAGTGCTCACTAAGTACTTCTTTGAGTCTACAGGGCACGTGCTTCCCGAGTAATTGCGAAAATGTTTTTGAGTGCTCTAAGGAACCTTCTTCCAACTGTGCTTACAGGGCTGTGATAACAATACAAACTACCGAAAATAGCGAAGATAGCGATGGGGCCCCACCAACATGCTCGCAAAACTTGGATACAGATGTCTTTGCAAAACGCTCTTTGCCGGGATAGTTCGTCCTTCGGGTGCGAACTTTCAGCGACACTTCGGTGTGGTGCTAAGCGGAAATTGTGTAACAAACACTGCGGTCTTGCTTTCAGCGCGATGTTTTAACGCAACACATGACATACCTCGCGCTTACTATAATGTCGTCATTAGTCCCAACCAAGCCGCAGATGAAAAGAGTAGGAAGTTGGTTAAGTTCCAGAGCATAGAATGAAAACGGTTTGGTGTTTAGCTGGTGCATTCAAAGCTCGAAGGGGATGCGTTCTTTCACGTCTTCCACCCAAGTCCCTGGTGATGCACGATGATTGATGACCGAACGCATGGGCCCCGCCGCAGTGGTCTAGTGGCTAAGGTACTCGGCTGCTGACCCGCAGGTCGTGGGCTCGAATCCCGGGTGCGGCGGCTGCTTTTTCGATGGAGGCGGAAATGTTGTAGGCCATGTGCTCAGATTTGGGTGCACGTTAAAGAACCCCAGGTGGTCGAAATCTCCGGAGCCCTCCACTACGGCATCTCTCATAATCATATGCTGGCTTTGGGATGTTAAACTCCACATATCAATCAATGAAATCAATTGACCGAACGTATGGCTGATCCCCAGAGGTGCACCATGTATGACACGTTCTCACCAAATATTGTGACTTCAATTATTGTATTTATCGAGGAACTGATTCACAGTCATTGGCACTAGCTAATGTTGGCATGTGTTACATAAACGACGGATTATATCGGCAAGTCAAGATTTACGCTGGCTTTAGACGGTTTAGTAAGTAACATAAGTCAGTAAGATATTGCCACGTGAGTATCTTATATTTCTCTCATTGTCTTCGGTTTACGCCCGCGAAGACTGTCAGTGACGTCAGCGACAGTCGGTGCGAACCGTGACTCAGTGTTCTAAAAGCTTAACCAATGTAGTATACCGTTTTCTCAAGATTAAGAGCACAAGAAAACACTAACGGTTATTCTGGAAATTTCGTGGCCGCTGGCGATAACGCTGGGTATTCGACGGTACATATATAAATGCTGAAGTGCCACTGCTTCCCAGTTGATCGATGGCCGACGCGCTGTTCGCCGCTGTCAGTTCTAGTGTGCATCGCTGAAATCTGATTTTTCAATTTACCGACCACAAGTTTGGCCAAATAAACAGTGTCAATTTGGACAAGCCATCCCTGCCTTTGTGATCGTCACGACCCCGTGACGATAGTTAGAGCTCCCTCCGACTCACTTAAGTAACATAATTTGCCCTTTGAGCTCACTTGAATTAACACTCACCAATGTTTTCCTCATCCGGACTCACTCGGACTTAGACTCACTGATATTTCTCTCTATTGAGCTGTGTCGGACTCAAACTGTAACGTGCGCGTCTATCATACTCCGAGTTAGTGTTCGTGAGCCGACTGATGAGTTCATTAGCGCACTTTTAGCTGTTTTGTCCTATGTGTCAATGCTCTTTAACCCAATTATCTCGTATACTAGGTGCTTTAATTCGCGGTTTTAAACTAGTATATTCAAAAATAGGACTTATAAGAAGTTGCAGGCCACTAAAGACATTTGAATTGAACGTACGACTCATACGTGATGTTTTTCACAAGACGTTTCTGTAAAAGAGAATAAGGGGAAAGTCAAACCACCTTCACCTTTCCACAACTAACGCATCCATTCAGTTAATATTGCGCTGGCATATCTACTCTACTGCGTTGATGTGTGATTATACATAATTTGAATAAAAGTGAACCGACGTAAGGCTGATAGTAATGATAAGGTTTAGTAAAAAAGACGAGAGGTCGACGAAACAATGTCGAGCTCACTCAGACTCACTCAAAAAACATTCAACCTGACACTCACCAAACTTCTCTCAACGGGACTCACTCAGACACAAACTCACGTATCTTTTTCCCAATCAGACTCACTCCAACTCACACTAACCAAAATAATACTGAACTGGAGTCACTCAGACTCACACATAAATCTAAATCTGAGTGAGCCGATTACTCATGACTGAGTCTGCCACCTATGGTAATTACTGACACTAGCTATCCTGTGTTACAGGTGATGACATTACAAAGACTGCTCGCGTCAGTGCCTCATCGAGCGATGCGAGTACGAGTCGACACATAGATATTAATTAACACGAGGGATGCAAAAATGATCACGTGGTAAATTTCGCATACAGCACCGCTGTGTTGTCACAGATCGTCAAAATTTGAGACGTCATCATGACTACGTTACGAATTCACCCCGACGTGATGTAACATAGTGTCGTCATCACATTACATTATTGCTTTGTAAAAGGCGAGCGAAGCACGGAGACAGTGCTCAAGAAGGTGGAGTACACAAAGCGTGCAATGTTTTCTACCCTGGAGGAAGGTTTTGAAGGGTGGCGGGGGAGTATCAGTGCGACCACCGAGGAGAAAAAGATAGCCTTTGCCTTCGATTTGTCTTAGCGAATGCACTAGTTACCCGATGAGTTTCTCGTACACTTGTGACTTCCCTAAGACAGCAGAAATTTTATAATAGTGAATAGACAGCTAGCTAGCTATCTATCATTCTTTGCAATTTCGTGGTGCACATAGTACGTGCAGTCCTTTATTTTTGCAACTGTCATTCAGTCAAAAAGGCATTCACACTGGTGAGCAGCATACCCGGAATCTCCTCGGCCTCCTTCAGGTTCACGACGCAGAAAGGGTCGACGATGTCGTGCCTCACCGGCGTCTGCTGCTGATGCGTTTGCGCCTGCAGGTCCGAAGGCTCGTGTCCGCCCGTTTGGCCGTTGTTGGGCAACAGCTCCACCTGGGGTATACACTGACTGCAATTACACCATTTCATTCGAACGAAGCACTCGTACTAGTACTGAAAACACCCACACACTCAAACGCACCGAGAGAAAGTCACCTGCATTATCTACATTACACTCCTAGACAAACTTTCTTGGCAGCATTGTGGAAGCTACGGAACCGAAATGCGTGCCTCCTACCAGGCCAAAAATCAGTACTTAAGTTTCCTGATAACTTTCTCTGCTGCTTTGCTAAAAGAAAGGCTGCTTCATTTATTAAGAGACTCAATCAGTTAAGGTAAGAACTGGGTGTAATACCGTTATGATTCCTTTAGCAAAAAATGCCTTTCTATTCGTTTCTTAGACAGCACAACCTTTTGAGAAGACAAGTTTGCTGAAGTATACAGATATGACGTCCGTAACATAGCGAGTGAGTCTGTGGCTGAAAATGCGTTGTATAGTTTTCCAAGCAAAATATACTCGTAGTATAACATTAAATAGTACACTGAACGGTGGAAACGTCTCTCATTCAAATATTCCGTGTATACACTTTTCTAACCGCGTTGACGCTGCAAGTGATGAATGACTGATATCAGCCGCAAACTTGCGTACTACATGCGGAATATGCGGAAGCTCTGTTTCCATATACACTTTAAAATATCCCACGCTTAATGTCATGCTGAATTACAAATTGAATTGAAGCGTGATGCACATGTATAAATGAGCCGTGAGTCACGCTTGGAGCCCCACGGGACCAAAAATAAGCGTGACATTCCTTCACGTCAGCATCAGGGCGATGCTGTATGCCATGGTTCAGTCATCTGCAATCGTGAGCAAGCTGTGAACGCGTGTGGAGCGAATATCACACGCTTACGATCCAGCGGAGGGCACACAAAAACATTTACCATCACGCATATACATATGCTGATAGGGGAGCCGTTATACGCCGCGCCGCCTGATCAGTCGTCGCCGAGTGTAGCTATAGCATATATAATGCACATAGGTTGTGCGCCCTGATGCGTGAAATTCACTTTGAAGGAGCATTTTCCTGAAAAAAAAAAAGCTTTGTACATCTCACTTTTATTTATCCTGCGGACGGACGGACGGACGGACGGACGGACGGACGGACGGACGGACAGACAGACAGACAGACAGACAGACAGACAGACAGACAGACAGACAGACAGACAGGCAGACAGACGGACGTATGGACGCATCGATGGATGAACGGATGGATAGATGGACAAATGGGTAGATGGATAGACGGATGGATGGATGGATGGATGGATGGATGGATGGATGGATGGATGGATGGATGGATGGATGGATGGATGGATGGATGGATGGATGGATGGATGGATGGATGGATGGATGGATGGATGGATGGATGGACTCAAAGTAACGGAAATTCACGAATAAACTCTTCGCATTTAAAAATGAGCCAACTGTGATGCACAGTTCTTCTCAATTCGTAATCACCCTGTCACTTTGTTTACACTTATGCAGCAATTGCATGAAAGCGCGTTTCAAACGAACGACTTCATGACAGAACGGCAGAAATAGCAGGTGCTTCTTTGCATCCCGACTGTTTATGCAACGTGTTTGAGGTGCACATTCACTGAGGTCCATCAATTTCAACGACAAATTTTGAGCATTCCGAACATGATGAAAGAAGCTGAAGAGACAAGATGCTTAAGAAAAGGGATTAGAACACTAACGGTGGCTATGAACAGCTTGTGATCTCTTCATATTTGACAGTATTTTCAAGATTCTTGTAACGCAAATCGGTCCTAACTGGCTCAAACATTGGTAGTTATAAGTTCTCCGCATTTCGTTGTGAACGCTACTTCACGTGTAGAGTCTAGGCAACACAATTTCAATAAACACACAAACTATGAAAGCTTCGAACTAGTGGCGCCAAGCCTGAAAGGAGATGGCAGCTGGGTAGACTTCCTTGTTTGTCTTCTTTATATTTTTTTGTTATTCTGATACTTCTCTTTCATTCTCTTTCTTTTTCTTTATACATTTATATATTTACCTCTTTCTGTTTCGTTATATTTATTTACCTTTCGCTCTATGCTTTTCTTGTTTATTCTGTCTATTTAAGTCATTGTTCCCTTTACTTCTCTCTCTTTCATTTTACTCTCTCTCTTGTTATATTTCTATCTCTTTTTCACGATTTCCTGATGCTGAACTTCGCCGAGCGGAGTTTTCATTGAACACTCGCAGCTGCTGTTCCCGCTAGTGGGGCTTTCCTTGTTTTTGTGGCGATACCCACCTGAGGGTTTTCGTTCCCGTTGGACAGATTACTGCTGGCTCAACCAGCTTCACTCTTAAAAGACACGGACACATCGAGATGGGAGGCTGCCCATGAGAACTCGCGTGCAATAGCGACGATAGAGACCAAAAAGAAGTTCTCGTTATGAAAGCGCTCGACTGTACACGAACGCTTTCCTTCCGGTCTCACCTGGAGCAATTTGACGCGGACGAAACCCTGCCCCGTCATGGCAGCTTTTCGTCCCGAACCAGATCGTTCGTCGCCTCTCAGTGACGCCCTACGCTCCGAGGCGTCTTCGTCGTCGACGGCATCCGCAGGCAATGACGCGACGCTGGTGGCACTCGAGCGGCGGCTGCTCACTTCGCTGCTGCTGGCGCTGCCCGCTCGGCTACTGTCGGAGGACGCCCGGTCTGCGTGAATGTGGAGAGAGAGAGAGGCAATTACAGAAATTTAAACATCGTAAGAAACTAGAACCCGCAGATAACGTGTTTTGACTGTTATTGTGATGCACGTACAATAAAGTTTCTTCGCCATAAATTCATACAAATAACGAAGCAAGGCATGCTGTTAGGCAAGTAGGGTCGTGGTCTCAAGACAGATTTAAACTGCTCGACAATGGAAACACGACTACAGAAACGCATACACTCACACAAGCACAGACATACAAACATACACACCAACTGCGCTTGTGTAGTGTGTCAGTTTGTGCTAAGGAAGCTTTATCTTATAAAGAAAGCTCATACATGCTGTAACCATAACTGGTAGTCTACCGACATACCTCTATTGGAAAGTATATGACAGCAAGCATTTATCTGCAGAGTAGAAGGCGGGAGGCTTACAAAGAGGGTTCAGCATAAATTGAAGGCGACGCATCAAGCAATTAAACGGAAGATGATGGCATTTGTTTTAAGTGACAAGAATACAGCAGAGTGGGCCACGCAACAAAAGGGGGTTCAGGTTCTGTGTCGAAATCGAAGTGAAGAATTGTTAATGGGCCGGGCATGTAGCGCGTACGTTAGGTAACCACTGGTTATTAAAATAATGGATTCCGAGAAAAGTCAAAGTTCCAGGGGGTGAGAGGAAGTTAGGTGGGTCGACTAGGTTCAGAAGAAAATAGATGGCAGCGTTGATTGGTGGAAGATTAGAAAGACCTTTGGCCAAGAGTGGACAATTGCTTAAACAGTCTGAAGCGCAATAAGCACTGAATACGTGTTTGAGCTTTTTGCGGTCAACCGGCCCTGTGTAGTTGAGTTTTGAAAAAGTTCACGTATTACACTGCAAGTGCAGCCTACCTGTTCTTTATTCTTGCAGCGAATATAAGTGTGGCTAGGATTCCACGTATTGCCTATCAGCGTCAAAAAAACATCTATGCTCCCATTACATGCACGGCCAATTTCCCGCTACTTCCCCAGCTGGTGGTAGTCGTTCACTGAACAGAAAAACACTCCCATTAAAAAAAAAAAGTATGTGTGACTCTTTTCGCGTAGTCCTCAGGTGCCATGAGACTCACTTTAAAGAGGCACGTTAGCTCTTTGGTGGTTCACTCAGCTCTCAGAAGAGATTACAAGACTCCCAAAGTGAGATGACGTGCCTCTAAAAAGTGTCCTATATGTAGCAAGCTAGAAATCTATAAAGGAGTGAAATGACTACTTTTTAGTATGAATAAACCAAATGAATCTGGCAGCTGTATTCTAACGCATTCCATTATTCTAGCACGTTTGCTACGGTGTACCCACGTACAGTTATGGCTTCCCAGTGCAACATCAAGCTTTAGCAACTATAATCAACATATTCATCACTTATTTTTCAGGTAACACAAAGAAAACAGCAACTGGAACTTGTAGGGCACCGGCAAGCGGTAAACGCTCATGAAGACCATCAAGCAGGCCCTTAGCCGTGGGGGCAGTGGCGTACCAACTTGGTCGCGAGTGGCGGGTGAGATTTCCCAGCTCCGTCAGCCGTGTATACCAGGTGTTAAAAGTTGATTGATTGATTGATTTGTGTGGTTTAACGTCCCACAACCACCATATGATTATGAGAGACGCCGTAGTCGAGGGCTCCGGAAATTTTGACCACCTGGGGTTCTTTGACGTGCACCCAAATCTGAGCACACGGGCCTCCACATTTCCGCCTCCATCGGAAATGCAGCCGCCGCAGCCGGGATTTGAACCCGCGACCTGCGGGTCAGCAGCCGAGTACCTTAGCCACTAGACCACCGCGGCGGGGCCGGGTGTTCAAAGTTAAGCTGTATTATTTTTTTTCATAGGCACTCAAAATGAATATGAGAAGCACTTGTGTAAGCACGTCAAGCGGCCAGGAAGAGAGATAGTTAGTTGATAATTATCGCTATCAGCAGACCAGTTAACTATTGCTTATTAATTACCTGTTTTACTGGCTGTGGTAAGCTGGCATGTTTATATTAAAAAAATGTAGGCAGTGGTGTTTGTACACAGTTTCAGTTGAAACGTTTCTTTCTAGCACACCTGTGCTTCCACATATTCGGCTCCGAAGTTTAATTCTCTTTCGCATGATTACGCATGCCATAGAGAGACGGGGTGCGCGAAAAGCTCCTCCGTAAAGCGACGCATCTGTTGCGTGTGCTGTTTAGTGTGTAAAGAGGGTGAAAGCACCGGCATACTTGATAACAATAACAAGTTGAGTAAGAACATTTTAAAACAGGGTTACCGGAAAATTTTCAAACAGTACCTTGTCCTGCACTTTCACTCATGTTTTGTGTAGTGTCCTGCCAGGTTTCATAATCGTTCATTACGGTCATATCTTCTGTGCCACTACTGTATTGTCACATTGGCTTGCCTTCCAGTTCGTCTTATACTAATACCATCACCCACAACAGAGATTCGGTAGACTACATAACTGCGAGTTTGTCTGTGAGTGCTTCTGCGTGCACGATATACTGGTCAATAAACCTTTGCCTGAGAGCCTCCACTGTATACGTGTGTTTGCCGTCAGAGTTGTATTTGGCGCTATACCGATCCAATCGAGACGAAACAGTACCGACCGAGTTTCAGCATGGTATTTCAGCGTAGTTTTGATCCACACAAATTATACCAGCTTGGGTCACACTAACTCTAGTTGTCAAGTGTGTATTCATTTTTTCCACATAAGATAAACTGGTGTCATCTATGTGAATTGTAAATTTAACGTTGTCATCAATGCTTTGATCTCACCAAAAGGAGAATAAAAGAGAAAAGTTACCAGAATGCTTCCTCGGAGTCTATCACGTTTAAAAATTCGAGAAAAATTTTTGCTGATCAATTTGGCGGCGGCTTTTGTAGGAGCTGGCGACACGACCTAACGCACTTTTATTAAATATAGGTAATTGTAGTAGAGTGACGTTGAGCCATTCATGCGCATGTACAGCTCTCGGGGAACTATTTGTGGATAGGGAGAAATAAACATTATTAGAAACAAGTAAGAGTCCTTGCAGGTGGGTCAGTAATGGCAGATTAAAAAAACTGCAGGTTCGAACCATCTTTCTGCTCAGGTTTTTAAGTGGTAGTACAAGCGTCACAGGTGGCCTTTCTTATGTGATCGAGTCGATTGCCTTACCTATCGCGCTGTTGCAAGTCGCCACAATTGTTTCAAGCCACTACATTATAAGTTTGCCGAGGCTGGTGAAACTGGAGACTAAAGTGCAGACCATTTCTAGCTTTATGACTCGGCTATCTCAAATACAATTCTACTCTCTCGTCGACTCACCGCAGCGGGGAAACAGAGCAGCCCTAATTTAATGCGTTTTCTAAGAAAGATAATGATTTATTTTCGAGGCGTGAACAGCGCGATCGGCCTATAAAGTGTTTACTATGTGGTTGCAGTCTGCACCTGCGTCCCCAGTGATGTAAATTTCAAATCAGACAGACCCCAATAAAGGCATGACAGAGTGGTCTAACGTTCTAGAGCCCCTGCTAAGTGGTAGCTTTCTGCGCAATGCTCCAGCGCGAGACGCGAAAGCGTTGGATAAGCGGCCCGCAATGCACAAAGCTACAGTCCATGGTCGCGAGCCACGGAAAATTACCTTCTCCGCAGAAGTCTACGGAAAAATAGATTACCGAATCTCATTATATAAAATTACGTGACTACTGTGAAAATTTCGCCACTGTTCGTTTCTCAGCTGTCCGCTGAGAAAGAAACTGAGGCTGAAAATGCGGAGGCTCATCCCCCCCTTGCTTTTCTCGGTGGAAGGAGAGCAGCACCTCTTTGCAACCCCCCCCCCCCCCCCCAGAAGATACGACTATGCACAGGAAAATAGTGAAAGACCCGCCCACCCCCTCTACCAAAATTTGGATGGAGGAGCTGTTTTTAAGTGCTTTTCAAGGCCCTTAACAAGAGTGCAGCTTACTCCTTCTTAAAAAAAGAAAACATCCTCACAGCCTGCCGTGAATCACGCATAGCGCACACGGCAAGCCGGGCGAAACAACGCAGGACAGTTCTATGTACAATTTGACTTCACTATGTGGACTGTTGTTAAACCAGTAGAGCACTGCACCATAAAAACAGCATAAGAGAAATGGCAACTGGCTGGGAGAGTGTAGTGATCCACATCGCTACCATAAAAAAAATTGAGATATCAACAAAATTTAACAGCAGTCGCATTCAATAAAGTTATTTTGACCATTAGAGTTATTTTAATTATTAATGTCATTTCAATCACTCAGTGTAGTCACATTATCTGCATAACAAGTTTAAGTGTAGTACCCACCGTTCGTATTTTTCTTGACGAGGACCACAGATAAAAAGACGAATGGTTGTTGCCAACTGGTGGTTCCTCTATGCTACACAGGCCTACGGAGAACACACATTCACAGTGAAAGCTAAAAGAGCAACCCTTCTAAAGCCTAACTTAAATACTTCTGGGCAGGTACTACACCTGTGTTCCGAATCCTTTGTGACCTCTAGGTCTATGTTCGATAGCTTCTGCACACATTCACCTTCACACACTAGCAAGACTAAATTTTTTGTAGTGTCTCTTTTTATAATTTTCAATCCTCTTACTTCATGTTTTTCCTGTAACAGGTAGCAAGCCGTTCTAAGAACCAACTGTTTTGCTTGGCTTTCAACCTATTGCTACTCCTATCGAGTGCACAATGTGTATGCTCCATGTGCGCGTTCGTGTGTGCGTGTGCAACTTTTTTGCGGGCAAACGGCATGGTGTTTTATCAATTCGTTTACGACGCATCGCTTTCTCACAATACTGCACGGTTCATATTCGTTTGCACTCTCTTGTTCTTCGTCCACCTGTTTGCTTACCGTGACGTATTTGCATAGACAAACCATTCTCCGGCCACCTTGCAACCTTATCATACCATTAGTTTTCTTGTTTCCTGCTACAAAAAATATAAAACAAGAACTAATTTGAACAATTCGGCATATCTTCACATGATTAG